GGCCGCCCGCCCGCGCGCCCGCCCTGCGGCGCCGCATTGTGCGGGCGCGGCCCCGCGGGGCGCGAGCCCCGGGTACCCGCGGGAGCAGCCCGCACGGGTGGGAGGGCTGCGCGCTCGGCAGCTTCTCCTTGCTGCTGTTCCCCCGTGGAAATCGTGCGGGCCGCCCTGTGCAGTTCCCGCCTGTTGGTTTCCCAAGGGTGAAGCTGCAGAGCCGGTTGTAAGGTTAGAAAGTATTGTGCAGGCAGCAGTCCTGCACGAGAGAAAAACGGATGGCGCAAGCAAATGAGATTTGTTTATTCTTTTTATTTTTTAACTCCTCTGTAGTGTTCCGTGGTTACTGCAGATGCCCGGCCTGAGTTTCCTGCTGTCGCGCCCGAGAGAGGTGGAGGAGTTGCAAGCGGACAGGCTGTGTTCCTCGGCGCGCTGAGATCAGCAGGGCAGGTCAGGCTGGAGACGGTGCCTTCATGCCTGTGTTGYGCCGTGAGCTAGCGTGCTCCCTTCCTCTTCGTTTCTGCAGTGCTCCTATCCGTGTCTCGATATTAATATCGTTAGGCTGTTGTGTTCTTACCTGTTGGTCTCTTGGTGTGCGGTTCTGTATTAGTTTTGACCCAGTTTAGCTCTTCTTCAAAGGTAATTCTGTGTAAGGGCCATGCATTCTGCCCCATTTTATTACTTGGGACCTACTAATTATGTCTGTAAAGTGAGTTGGTTAATTTAATGTATTGGGAAAAGCAGTCGTTTGGTTGGTTGTGATGATGTGTCATTTTATGGAGCAGCCCAACAAACAGAGAGGTCGGACACCCCCTGATCCCTGGACTGGTGTAAGAGGAAGATGCTGCAAGATGCCCCTGGAGGAAGGGAGCCATCCTGATGGTAGCAGAGCTATAACTTGGTTGTAATGTGTATGGCTTCACTCTGTCTCACGTTTAGCCCCGTTTGGTTTATTTCACGAATTCACCCATTTTCTTCCTCTGTAACAGCCTGTATTCTCTCCCTTCTCRTTTGCTTGATTAATTTATTTTCAGGCTTCGTTTACTTGTGGTGCTGGCTGTCAAAGAAAAACTTGTAAAGCAATTTTCTCCTCAAGAGGCTTTGTTTTAGGTAGCCTTTTGACTGTTTCCTRTCTGTAATGGAGTTGTGCATGGATGCAATGGCCAACTAGGAGGTTGCTTCTTACAGCTGAGGAAAAGACGATTGCAGGGCAGAATTACTCACGGTGCTGCCTAARCAGCATAGGAAGGTAGTGCTGGAAGCACATGGAGTCCTGGGCAGGACACGGAGGCAAAGGTCTGCACAGGGAAGCCAGAACTGAAACAGCAGCTATGTGCTTGTTGGTAATGGACTTTTCTCCTAGATTTTGAGGAATAAGCTTGGAGCAGCTCTCCTCTGGTTTAGCGAGCCTTCCTCAGCAGTGTTAATGCTACTGTCCTACTTTACTTAAAGTCACCTTAACACCGTTGTGGAATTTAGGAACTTAGGCCAGGGAGAGGATGTTACTGTGCCCGATTTTYTGATGTGCTGGCCTGGTTGTTTAGTCACCTAGAAGAAGTAGTGTGAAGAGCAGTGAAGCTGTAAAACCCTCAACACCTGTGTTTGAAAAGGTCTAATATCTGTGCTGGTGTTATGAGGTCCTGGAAGTTTAGGTCTCATTTAGAGGTGTATTAGGTAGAGTGCAGAGGAGCCAGCGGGTGCTGTTGGGAACAAACAAGCTGTTGGTGTTACTCAGGCTGTTGGAAGATATTTTTAAATCTTACATGGGATGCTTTGCGCTTTTTTTTTTTTTTTCTTTTTGAATTTCACTTAATCACTTTTGCTCACTTCTCATCACTTTTGCTCTTGCCTCTTCCTGAGTCTAATCCCTCCTCCTATTATTCCCTGTATAACACACGTTTCTTGCTGGAGGAAGCTCACTGATCATCCCCATATGTTACTTTTCTGCTAAACATTCCTTGCAGTCTTGCTTTTCTTCCTCTTGGCTGATGAAAGCCTTCTCCAGTCTTTTCTTAGTCCTGTAGTTCACCACAACCCATCTTTCTGCTGCCGAAAGTTATCCCTAGCCCTGTATGGCCTCTTCGGAAGTTTTCCCTGGCACTTTTGTTCGTAGTGATCCCTTTATTCACTCTGYGGTCGTTATATTCCTCCTTAAAGCAACTTACAACCACATATGACTGGCTTTAGTCTTATATGTGAATTATGGACTGTTAAGAACAGTGAGTACCCAGAAATGCATGTGATAAGAAAGAATAATTAGGGATTCGGGGCTGAACTGTGACAAGAAGGGACTGAGCTGGTGAATTTGCAGCRAGACAATGGAGTTGTGATTCTCCTTGTCTCTAGTCCCAGAAGAAGTGAAATTATCCCACAAGTCAGGACAGTGAAATTGGTGACTAGAAGCAGAGTATAATTTGCCTCAGTTTACTAGACTTGAAGCAGAGGTGATGAGACCTGTAAACCAAGAGCTTTTCCGAATGAGCTGAAGCTGATACTTAGCCCGCTACTCTTTTAAGAAGGCTAGCTGTAGCTTCCACTGCAAAATAGCAATACAAATGTGAGGATATGTATATTATATTTTTCACTGTGGTAATCAAACAAACAAAAAAACTATGAATATAACTTTTGAATGGATCCCCAGCCCCTTGTAAAATGACAAAGTGGTGTAAGAAATTTAGTTATTCAAGCAAGATTCAAGTAAATAAGCCATATGATGCAGTGAAACACAATTTGGTTCTCTTTTTCTCTAGCATGACTTATTTTTGTAATTCTCTTGATTTAGGTCTGGAGCCAGTCTCGGTCTGAGCTCCAGGTTCCTGTCACCATGGAGACCGAAAGTGAACAGAATTCCAGTTCCACCAGTGGGAGCTCCAGTTCTGGAGGAAGCAGCCGCCCGCAGATATCGCAGATGTCTCTGTATGAGCGACAGGCCGTACAGGTAAGGTATGGTTATGTTCTGTCTTTTTGTCCATGGAAGGTGGCAGTAAGTCCTTCTCCATTGCTCTGAGCTGTCCTGTCAAGGTAGGTGAGATGCTTCATGCTTAGAAGACAGTTGTGTTTTCAGATTTTTGGAATTCCTGGGCTAGGCCATATACTTATTCCATAAGTCCTCATATTTTGCTTTAGTTTTATAGGTGACTACTGCAGTGTCCAGCCTTTTAAATTTATTAGTYCTGTGATCCAGTGGATTAACGTTAGCCTATTGTCCTATATCAAGTTATTCAGTTTATCATCCCAGTACCTCTGGAATATCTGTACTATGTAGGAATTGTGGTCTGTTTGTCCACTCAGTTATGTACATCCCCAAATTACAGGAGTTTTTAAAAGTCTTAMAAGTATTCTTGCTGCTATGCCTGGATACACCTGTGATTCAGTCTGTTACTGGACTTGTACTACATATTTTGATGTTCTAATCTGGTTGCTTTGCCTTTTTTCATGGTGATGAGGGATGTCTCCTGGCAGTTATTTAGATCATGATTTCTCTCTTTAATCGTGTTTTGAGGGCACAGTATTTTTTGACAGTTGGGTTTTCTTCTTTCTCCAGGCCCTCCAGGCACTCCAGAGACAACCTAATGCAGCTCAGTACTTCCAYCAGTTTATGCTCCAGCAGCAGCTAAATAGTGCCCAGCTCCACAGCTTGGCAGCTGTCCAGCAGGTGAGTTTCCAGGGGGCAGAAGGAGAGGCATTCTCTCTGGGGGAGACTCACTTCTTATGCAGCAACTTGTGTGATGAGGTCCTGGTTTGTGATTAGACAGCTAGTCCTTAAACATGTATTTAAAGGTAATGTAAACAACTAAAGAAACAGGAAGCTACGTGAGTAGAACCCTCTGACTTCCATTTACAGAGCAGGATGAGGTAAAATCTGGGATCCCCATAAGGGAAAATGCCATATTTTGGAGGCAAAGGATTAGCCTCTGCACCTCCTTTAAATACAAAATGAATCATTACATCAGTAGCAATACAGTAGCATTTTTTAAAACTGTCTTAAAATGAATCATGAAATGTTATTTACCTGAGAACGCATATGGTTTTATGTACATGAAATTTCACACTGTATCCTCTTGGATATCAGTTCAGGGATCACAGAATCACAGAATGGCTGAGGTTGGAARGGACCTCTGGAGATCATCTAATCCAACACCCTTGCTTAAGTAGGGACACCCAGAGCATGGGTCACAGGGTCGCAGCCAGGAGGATTTTAAAGATTCCCCAAGGATGGAGACTCCCCAGCTTCCCTGGGCAACTTATTCTAGTACTTAGTCACTCTCACAGTTTGTTTTTCTTTTTTCTCGTGTTCAAATGGAACTGCCTTTGTTGCAGTTTGTGCTCATTGCCTCTTGTGCTACTGCTGGGTGCTGCTGAAGAGTCTGGTTACATCCCCTTTACATCCTCCTTTCAGATACTWATGTGCATTGATAAGATCTCCCCTAAGTATGGTGTTCTCCAGGCCRAACAGCCCCAGCTCTCTCAGCCTTTCTTCATATGAGAGATACTTCAGTCCATTTAGTCATCTCAGCAGCCCTCTGCAGGACTCATTCCAGTAGCTCCATGTCTCCTCTGTGCTGGGAAGCCTGGAACTGGACATAGTATTCCAGATGTGGCCTCCCCAGGGCTGAGTAGAGGAGAAGGATTACCTCCCTCATAGTTCCCAAATCCTTACTTGCTGCTTTGTAGGGTAGGGGGAATAGAATCCTCTTGCCAGTTTCACAGATATCTTATTTACAGACTAACTGAACCTATTACCCACACAGGCACTTGCCATGGGATCATATAGGATAGAAAAATACCCGTCATTTACCCTCTTCCWTACGTGCTGTAATCAAAGTTTGTTACTTGGAGTAACATTGCACACCTGTTACTAACTTGCACAACTTGCCCAACATAGTGTAGTGTTAGAGTTGTGGGGATGGAGTGTGAAACAGTGGGATGGGGGTTGTAGTTTGCAGCAGGACAAGCTGAGACAGTGGCAGAAGATACAGCGCTGCATGGAGGACTGCAGGTCTCACACCAGAAGTGTCTCCTGTCCAGTGCCTTGAGTGATCTACAGAACTGGCTGGGGAGCAGGAGGTTCCTTCCCTGCTGACTCGCTACACCTGTTTTGGAGGCCGTGACAGAGATTTGTGGTTCTTCTGTTGTCTTCCAGTTGTCAGGAATGACAGAAGATGGTGATGCTGGGATGAGGTGTTCTAGCCAACCCAAACATTTGGATTGGATTTGAAGCTTTTTTTCCAGGTACTCATTTTTGTTCTGATCTCTCTTGCAGGCTACAATTGCAGCCAGTAGACAGGCCAGCTCCCCCAACACCAGTGCCCCACAACAGACCACCACTACCCAGGCCTCTGTAAGTAATTGCTTCCCCACCATAGCAAAGCCTTGTCTCCTTTGTTTTTTCCTCTTTTAGGAGGGAAATCAGCCAGGAAAACACAGCTGCTAAGGATGATGGGGATCCACAAGATACAGTCAGCTTGGAGGAGTTGGGGTGCTCTCATTATTGGTGGGAGTTGAGGCGCCAAGAGAAGGTTTCTGAGTGGGAGAGGTCTCTTTAGCTGGGAAGGTAGAAACTGATCTCTTTAAGCTGTGAGGATRCATTCTCTTGGATTAGGAGAGAATCGAGACTCCTAAGATGGAGAAGAAGATCAGCTTGAAGGAGATTGTTCTTTTCTTTTTGGAGGCAGAAGTAGCTTGTTGAGTGAGAAGAGGTCTGTGTTTATCTTGAGTTGGGGAAATGGGATTTATTTAAAGAATTTTGTCAAGTAGATTTTTTTTTTCTTAACAGTCTGGAGAAATGCATTTGTTTTGGGGGGCGAGGGGGAGAGCACTGTAGAATTGCATGTTAACAGTTATACTCTGGTTCAGTATACAAATATAAACCAGCCAGAAGTCTAGATTTCATAGCTCCTTAAGACAACAGTTTCTTTCTTCTGATCCCCAGCGTAGGAAAAAGGCTGTAAAACGCCTGTCCTTGCAGTGTCCCAATGAGACAGTTTGTACCTGTTCCTTTGCCCTCATCATTTCCTATGCGACTTAGGGCTTTTCTCTCTTTCAAGATCAACCTGGCCACCACGTCGGCTGCACAGCTGATCAGTCGCTCGCAGAGCGTGAGCTCCCCCAGCGCCACGACCCTGACGCAGTCGGTGCTTCTTGGCAATGCCACCTCGCCGCCTCTCAACCAGTCGCAGGCCCAGATGTACCTCCGGGTAAGAGAGGTCCTCACAAAGCGTGTCCTACCACGAGCACCGTTTCCCGACCACTCGCGTTTCGCTGTGTGGGAGTACTAACATGTATTCTTACCTCTCGGCTAACTCCAGCTTTAGAGACCATGTGATTGTATTTTAAATGCAAATGAGAAATCCTATGCCCCTGAAACCACAGGTCTAACTCTAGGCTCAGCTTTCAAGGATAGATGACCTTTATATTGTGTGGTTTAGGGGTGTGCAGGTGAGATGCTTAAGATCATGTTTGTCTCTGCTCTGCATAGATGTTAAAGATCCCATGGCACTTCTCACTAGAGTATAGATGTGAAATATATATCCTACAGCTGAGTGTAGCTCGYGGAAGTAAATCTGCTCTTCTCACGCAATGCTGGAACAGATTCGTCTTGTAAATTACTCTCTTCAACCATTGCTGAGCTTGGGCATGTAAGTCAGTGTTCAAGCTAGTCTGTGTGCATAGATTGATGTGAACAAATAGCTCATCCTTTAAGGCAGTTTGAGGTGTTTCTGTATACAAAACACAGATTATTGTCAGATTGGGTCTAGAGTTTGATTATCTACCAGAAAAAAAAAATATTTTCCGCTGCTCATCCAGCTTTAGATACAGAAGGTATCCCCTTCTTTTCCAACAATCCCTGTTTTGGATGTCCTGTGTCTCTGCTTCTCAGCTAGCCCTGGGCATATACCTGAAAATTAGACTCCAGCCTTCTAGCTAGTCCTGGGCAGTCTGTGGGAATCACCTCAGGTTCACATTTGGCTCACAGACAATCACACATTTTCCTAAGGAAATTGTTTCCAGTTTACTGCTCCTGCAGGTGGTTCTGAGCTCTAGAGTGAAAGGAGGGTTGGGGGGTTTGCACTGTGTGACATTGCAGCCCAGTGTTGCTTTGTAATCTGTTTGCCTGTGGTTCGCTGTCTTTCTTTTTCTCCTCTCCTCCGTTCTTTTCATTCCACGTCACCTGACCCTTCCCCGACAGCCGCAGCTGGGGAACCTGTTGCAGGTAAACCGGACCTTGGGCCGCAATGTGCCTCTTGCCTCCCAACTCATCCTGATGCCTAATGGGGCCGTGGCTGCTGTCCAGCAGGAAGTTCCACCCACCCAGTCTCCTGGGGTCCATGCAGACACAGACCAGGTCAGTGATACCCCCACCAGGGTCCTCCCCTTTCTCTTGCACTCAGTCATCCCACAGTCKGATCTCTGTCTCCAGGCTTCCTTGCGTAGGGAATTAGATCTGTTTTATCCCCATCCTGCAGGCCTATAACGGCTGCATGCAGGAACATCTGTTCTCTCTTACCACTGTGTTTCTGTGTTTGCCTTTTTCTTTCAAAGATAGGGTTAATTGCTACTTAAATCCCTTGAGTGAACCACAAACTGGATCAATCCAGTCCTCACAATTTCTTGGTTGTCCTTTTGTGCAAAGAGTTGTGGGTTCTCTGTCAGCTTTTCAGTGGGGCAGGTGCTCYGTGATGAGGAGTCTGGGCTGATGGTGGTATTCTTTGACCCAGTTAGTTTGCCGTTGTAAAGATGCCAAAGACTGAACAAATCACAAGGTCTTAGCTCCTGCGTTCATCTGAAAATATTACTCTGCCCCTGCTGCAGTTACTTTCTATTTGTCTTATCTGGAGCACTTTCTTTGAAGCAAAGTCAGCTGTGATCAAATGTGAAGGTAACACTGCATTTGGAAAGGGAGTAAATACAGAGGATGGCAACACCAAAATGCAGAGAGAAACTGCAGAAATAAGGGCAGTGTGCCATGAGAAGAGATGAGGGCCTCTTAACTGGAAAGTCCTGCACAGAGAGAGGCAGCAGGTGGTACAAATTAAAAAAGGAATYGCTGAGCTTAAAGGGGAGTCTCTCTGCCTTCTGAGCCCTGCTAAAGTGGATCCTCCCAATGCAGGAGCAAGGAGGGCAGGTCTGAAGGCTGTMCCATGCCTGTTAGTTGCTGATGTTGGAGTTTGCTGTGTGGAGAGGATGGAGTTATCCTCAAGATCTGTTCAGAAAGTGCCATGAGATCTTTAACTTCATCAGAGATGGGCAGTGGGGAGTTGAGGTTAATAAGACTACCAGTGAGGGCTGYACCTGAGCTTTGCTCTGTAATGTTAGCAAGCTTCCAGTGTGAGGCATTAAGTATCAGCTTAGCCTGCATCTCAGCAGTTTGTTCTGCCTCTGTGTTCTCTGCTTCTGTTAATCTCCCAGGAGGTAACATACATAACGCAAATGGACTGTTTTGTGTGTGTGTTTTAGGTGCAGAACTTGGCTGTGAGGAGCCAGCAGACCTCAGCCACTAATGCCCAGCTCCAAGGCTCTGCTCAGAAGGCAGCTGTGCCAGGAAACTCCCAGCCTTCCGGCCTACCACAGGCCACAAATACAGGCCAGACGTTGGCGGTGGCTCAGGCTTCTTCTGGCAACACAGGCCAGTCCCTCAACTTGAGCCAGGGGGCCGCAGGCAGCAACGGTGTCTCCGGGGGTGTGGTGGCAAGTAGTGGGAGCCAGACCTCAGCAGGACTGAGCCAGGCGTCCTCAGCAGGCCCTCCTGGCAGTTGTCAAAGGAAAGGCACAGGGGTGGTTCAGCCACTGCCAGTAGCAGCTGCCCAGGCAGTGACTGTCAGTCAGGGAAGCCAAACAGAAGCAGAGAATGCGGCTGCAAAAAAGTGTGAAGCAGACAGTGGTGGACAGCAAACAGTGGGCATGAACCTGACCAGGACGGCTACACCAGCACCTAGCCAGACGTTGATCAGCTCAGGTGAGTGGGGACCTGCTCCTCCTCTTTGGGCCTTTCCATTKGGCCTTCACAAGAAAGTTTCCTTTGGGAGGTGTCTCTCATGCTGGAGTCTCCTAGCGTGTTTCCAAGCCTCAGTGCTCCAGGATGCTATTCTGCAGGAGTTATCCCTCTTTATGAATGAGARTATTTAATCTCGGCCTGTTCAGTCCCCAGTCTCCTCTGTTAATAAGCTGTCAGTCATTTTGGAGCTTAAAAAATCAAACCAGTTCTGAGGGTTAAAGAGCCCATTTTCCATCCCTGCTGCTTTTTGTTTCCAGCTGCCCTGCTGCTAATTTTCTGTACTGTCTTCTTTTCCCATCCCATGTTTGTAGCCACATATACACAGATCCAGCCCCACTCGCTGATACAGCAGCAGCAGCAGATCCACCTGCAGAAACAAGTAGTGATCCAGCAGCAGATTGCCATTCATCACCAGCAGCAGTTCCAGCACCGCCAGTCCCAGCTCCTCCACACAGCCACCCATCTCCAGCTGGCTCAGCAGCAGCAGCAGCAGCAGCAAGCACCATCTCTGACTCCACAGCAGCAGCAGGCTCAGCCCCCGCAGCAGCAAGCGTCATCTCAAAACCAGCAGCAAGCTCAGACCCTTGTGGTGCAGCCTATGTTGCAGTCCCAGGCGCAGCCTGTTCAGCTTCAGCAGGAYGGCACTTGCCAGCCAGGCACCAAGTCACCTATTCCCATTCAGTCAAAAGCTCTGGTCACCTCCATCAAGCCCCCTCAGCTTGGGCCTGCCAAAATGTCAGCAGCGCTGCAGCCTCCGCCGCATATCCCGGTGCAGGTGGTGGGTACGCGGCAGCAGGGCTCAGGACAAGCCCAGGCACTGGGTTTGACTCAGATTGCTGCRGCAGTGCCCACCTCCCGGGGTGTGCCAGCTGTGGTCCAGCCTGTTTCCCAGGCTCATGTTTCTTCCCCATCTTCTGCTCCAGCGTCTTTGCAGGAAGCCCCTTCTCTTGCCACAGGGGTAAATTTGGCACAAGTTCAAGGCACAGCCCACATGGTGAAGAGCGCAGCCTCCTCTCCAGTTGTGGCTCAGATGCCAGCAGCATTCTACATGCAGTCTGTCCAGCTACCAGTAAGTCACATCACTGAGGAGGAGGATAACCGATGGATTCTGTTTGTTCATTCTTAGGATACCGCTTTTAGTCCAGTCTTGGGTCAGTGAAGTGGGATGTTCTGAGGCATTTGGAGAGAGGAATATGGAGATGTTTCCTTTCAGATGCATGAATTCCAGTCCTAGGGATTATTGATTGCAAGTAATTCTCTTCCACGTGATCGTTCAGAGGTTTGCATGAGATTTGTTGGTGAAACTCAGTGCTGCTTCAAATGGGAGTATATGTCCTCAACACATACTATCACAATTAACAATAATTGGCATCTTTGTCTCTCTTAGGAGAGAGACCAAGGCTGAGTGGGCCATGAAAACTGAGCTCCCCTCCTCCAAGTAGGTACGGACACCACCAGTGCAGAGACCCCTTGGTGTGTGGTATTGGCCACAGAGTTAGGGCTGGCTTTAGGCTTCTAAGGTTTCTCCAGTAACAGGTTATGAAGAGGAAAACGAATATGGCTCATGCTGCACAAGCTTCTGTCATGCTGCTCTGAACTGCCCATTTAGAGCCCTCCTAACCCCCATGACAACACTTTGCTAGCCCGGGTATCCTTAGCAGGCTCCTCGGGCTGTTCGTTTTCATGAGATTTCACTGGTGTGTAGTCAAGGGCAGAATGCACCAGTTTGTTTCTAAAACTCTGGCTCCTCCTTCAGGCAAATTTTATGATAGCTCCCTGGGAACTAGAAAATAACTCCATCTCTTGTYCAGCATATTTCCTTTACTGTTACGATTCTTTCTCTGTAGAAACAGTGGTCTAGCTGGGGAAACTGGTAGGTGACTGCCAATCCACTTCCTTCTTGCTGGAGTAATCCCTTGAGACTGGGACTCTTGATGTTCTCTTGATGTTATCAATGTATCACGGTGATTTGGGACATCATACCCTAACCATAATGCACCGCTGGTGAGTGTCCTAAGTTTTGCTCCYCACTAAGCAAATGTTCTTAAACAGAGGGATATTCTAATGAGGGAGCTTGAGGTGTCAGCGGGAGGAACTAGGCAGATGATGAAGGAGGATGGAGCAGGGTGTATCCTGTTGCCTTCAGTCTGTGGTGATCTATGATTTGAGGGGAGGATCCTCTCTTTGCTTATGTGTCCCTCTCCCTTCACACAGGGCAAGTCTCAGGCCTTAGCTGTGAAGCGCAAGGCAGAGTCAGAGGAGGAGAAGGAAGAATCACCCAGTGTGAATGCGGTTCTGCCTGCTCGGTCCTCTCCTGTGACAGACAGCCCCAAACACATGGATGAGAAGAGTGGCCTTGGAGGTGAGGTGCAAATGAAAGCTATGCTTTGGTTTGGTTAATGAGATCTCAACTCATACAGCAAAATGAATATTAGGAGCAGAGAGTGAAGGTTACAGTGACCCTCTGTGGTTTTAATATTCCAGATAAACATGATTCTGCTGCCAGTGCAACCCCAAATGCCACTTCAAGTGAAGCAAGATCAGTGACACCCACTTCAGCTCCCACCCCCAACCTGGCAATGGTTTCACGCCAGACGGGAGACTCCAAACCCCCACAGGCCATTGTGAAGCCGCAGATCCTCACACACATCATCGAGGGCTTTGTCATCCAGGAAGGAGCAGAGCCTTTTCCAGTAAGTGTCCACTACTGTAGAGAAGGAGAGGCATCTCTCTTGAGAGGGTCGTGGGCTGCCTTCTTTGGATAGGAGTTTCTTTCCTCGTGCTCCAGGTCTGCTCTTTTCTTCAAAAGACACAGGCAGGGAAAAGAGGAAGAAAAAGGAGGAAGGTTTCATTCATGAAGCAGGCATTAACTGCTGTTATTAAAGTGAGTTAGAGGGAAGTGATGTTTTTTTTTTTTTTCCCCGTCAGTACTCCTCAACTCCTCAAACCAACACTTCATGCTGGTTTTTTTTTTTGTTTTTTTTTAAATGGAGGCAAAGATGCCCTTCTTGTTGAACAAGCAACTAATGACGTAAAAGCAAGTAAAGGAGAATACAGTTACATGGAATTGCAGGATATTTGAGGCAATTATCACAGATCATTCAGTATTGCCAAGCCAGTTGGTCAGGAGTGACTAATGACTTTGTTCAGTATCCCTCCTTCTCCGGTGGTGATAGAGGTTCTTGTGAGCTCCAACAAGATGCAGGTGGCACATGCCCTGCACATGGTGGTAGGCATAGAGATGCCTTTACTGATGGGCAGGACTCTCTCTCTTCTGGTCCAGGTTGGTTGTTCTCAGCTACTGAAGGAATCTGAGAAACCACTGCAGGGAGGAGCTCCCTCTGGACAGAGTGAAAACCTGTCCAGCAATTCCCCAGGAGGGGACAGTGCTTCTATGGGTGAGTTCCAGCACCAGGAGATCTAGCAAATGTTACTGAAAGTGTTATGATGTTGGTTTTGCCTGTTTGTTTGTTATCTGATACTTTTTTATCTAATTCATGCATCACGAACTTTTCCTTTTGTGGAAAGGAATGTGCCCTTTTTAGCCTTCTGCTAAGTCTGTAGGGACCCAAACTTAGGCCACAGATGTAATATCTCTTTTTCTTGAGGTGCTACAAGATAATACTTTTTTCATATATGATCTACATACCCTGTTTCAATAACCAGCAGGAATTTTTGAAATATTCCTGTCTYTAGTATCTTTTTGAAGGCTATGAAAGATGCGTGAACAAAGCTGAGGTGTGGCGATCATCTCCCCATACCTTTGTAGGATATGAGGGATGTGCTAGTTCTTGCATGCTCAGCAAAAGGTTAATGAAGGGAGAAATGCACAGTACTGTGCAGAACTGTAGGTCTCTAATGGAGGGCTTTGACCTCCCTTCTTTCCAGATTCTAACCCCAAGTTAACTACATAATATTGAATAGAAAATACTGTTTGGAGTCCRTCTGTTCTGTGGAACAGAAGGGGAGGGGTGAATGATAGTGTGGTTTGTGTCAGTTCCAATCATCATGTTGTGTGCCTCTCTCTGTCTCACTAGAACTTGATAAGAAGGCGAGCTTGCTCAAGTGTGAGTACTGTGGAAAGTATGCCCCGGCCAGCCAGTTCCGTGGCTCCAAGAGGTTTTGCTCCATGACCTGCGCTAAAAGGTAACAGCAAGGCATTGCCTTCCTTTCCCCTGATTATGCATTATCTAGAACTGGGCAGGTGCCTTTGGGTAGTGTGCAGTACTGCAGTACCTCTGAGCTGCCCTCCGTGGAACACACTGACCACAGAGATCATCTAGGGTTGGACCTCCTAATGGTTTGTGAATGCTTTTAGACCTGGGTGAGGTAGATGTGACATGAAGTATAAGCAGGATTTCTGTCTTGTTCACGAAATAAGAAAGGGGAACTCCTTACTGGATGTACATCTGACTAAAGAGTGTTTTCTCAGAGCCCAAGTGACTAATCAAATGCTTACTGTCATCCGTCTGCTGTGTCTTTGATACTAGACAATGACACAGTGGAGTATAYGGAGACGAATATGAGAAGCTGGACTAGTCGTTGCCATCTCCCTTGATAGTGGAAGGCATGTTATGATTAGTCTTTTCCATTAGCAGAGCAATTTAATTGAACCTTCAGATGTTAGACTAAAACTCTGATATCCAAATATTGCCTGTGTCAGAAGCCTGGACTGGTAACTTCCGAGGGGAATTCTCAGGAGGAGGAACAGAACCCGATGATAACAAGGACATTTATCCCCATCTAGAGGAAGGAGAAGTTGCACTTCAAGTAGTCTCTGTTTCCTAACTGCTGCTGTGGTTCTCCTTACTTGAGGTACAACGTCAGCTGCAGCCATCAGTTCCGGCTGAGGAAGAAGATGAAGGAGTTGCAGGAAGTGAACTACGCTCGCGTGCGGCGCCGGGGGCCGCGGCGCAGCAGCTCCGAAATTGCTCGAGCAAAGATCCAGGGCAAGCGCCACAGGGTAAGGACACGTCCTGCCTGCCTCTGGCCAGGCACATCTCACTGTAGCAGTTGGCACTGGTGCCTGTGCAGGAAACGTTTCCTACAATGAACGTGCTCTGCACCTGTATCTGGGCTGTAGCAGTGATAGCTGCTGGATAGACCTGGTTGCATTACCTTGAGGCAAGGACTGAGTTCCTGGACACTCCAAGTGCTTAGGCTGAGCTTTCACAAGACACTGGTTTAGAGCTAACTCACTCTGCTTCTGTATTGTTCCTAYCTTAGTGTCAATGATGTGAAGTGTGGTTTTTCTTGTTGTAAATACATTCAGAGSTGAGGTGAAATGCCTGGCCCGTCTGTAGGCATCCGGCATATGCAGAGTGCACATTGACATAGTTATTGCACAAGAAAAAATAAACTGTTCCAATTGTGCATCAGCTGCAAATGGTGGATTTGCACTCGTACTTGTTCTGTTTGTTCTCTGTTCATTCCAGCATGAATTATAGAGCTCTCGGTGAGTGAGACCAGCTGAAAACCTTGATAGAAAACAACCCACTTTCCTGTTTGGTTAGCTTTCTTCCAGCTTAATGAATTAAATCAGGTCATAGAAGGGCTCTAATGAGTTCCAGAACTGGCATGAAGAAGGTGAATGGACTGGGGGAGGGTGAAAAGAAAGTAAACAGGAAAGGAAGAAAGGGCAAAGCCTGCTGTTTCTGGCATCAGTGAGCTCTTGTCGGCTGTGACTGGATCAGCAGCCACAGACAGGCACTGTTGGGACAACTTCTGCTGTTCCCAGCGCCTTGTYTTGCACTTAATGATTGTGACTTTCTTAAACACACCTTTGCTTTGCCTTCTTTCCTGTGGGCTTGTAGGGCCAAGAAGATTCCAGTCGAGGCTCTGATAACTCCAGTTATGATGAAGCTTTGTCCCCTACATCTCCAGGGCCCTTGTCAGTGAGGGCCAGTCATGGAGAGAGGGACCTGTCAAACTCCAGTATGGCCCCACCTACCCCAGATCTACACGGCATCAACCCAGTCTTCCTATCCAGCAATCCGAGTCGCTGGACTGTAGAGGAGGTGTCTGAGTTCATTGCATCCCTGCAAGGTAAAGCTAAATTTTCCTGCTGCTGTCCTGGGATCCAGCATAGGAAAAAGTGTTGGCTGCCTTTCTGCAGTAAGAGGCAACTGTTATTGGTAGTCAGTGTTATTGCCTCAAGCAGCCTGTGGCACAGAGATTGTTGGGAGAAGGGAGGGTGATTCCCAGCTTGCTTTATCTTCTGGACACCTATCCCAAAAAGTRGGAATGTGGAGAGTGCCTGGAGCACCTGTTTCTTAGTGCTGTTTTCTTGGCTTCACAGGCTGCCAGGAGATCGCTGAGGAGTTTCGGTCACAGGAAATTGACGGCCAAGCGCTTCTGCTCCTCAAGGAGGAACACCTCATGAGTGCCATGAACATCAAGCTGGGACCAGCTCTCAAGATTTGTGCCAAGATCAATATCCTCAAGGAGACCTAACAGCTCTGAAGCCTTTTTGCTCTGACCACAGTGCAGCTCCTYGCTTTGGAGTGTCCTGCTCGGGTAGTGAAAGAGGGGACCACTCCACACGATCTTGCAAACAAAAAACGAGAAGGAAACTGAGTTGAACTGCTATGCACAAGCCTGTGTCTTGGCCCCTTTATGGTGCTACAAGGGGGAGGAAAACTCTCACCTAGGCCTTGAAACTTTTTKCCTTCTTGATGGTTTTGAATATACTTCTGCCATACACCATGTGAAAAAAGGGAAGGGAACCTCTTTCTGCCCAGACTTCTGACAGGGACCTCGCCTGTCCCTTTTGCTGCAGCAGGGCAGTTAGATCCTATGTAGCTGTTTCTGAATCTTGCTGTGTCAGAATTTGAGGCATAAGGAAACCTGCCCAGCACTAACATTGTGAGCAGCTGTTCTTGGGATACTTAGAAAGAGGAAAAAGTCAATTCCCTGCGACAAAAGTCAGCAAGTGAGAATTACAGCCAAAGGGGCTGCTCCTCTTTCCATGTTCTAAAAGGACCTAGGCTGTTCATGAACTGGGTTTAGTAAACTTTCCAGCAAGCAGAGCCAACCTCAAGACCCAGGGCAGTAAGAGCAGCCTTAGCCTTGGCTTTGCTGCATGACAGGAGATGGTGGCACAGCAGGGGATGGTCATGCAACGTGTTGTGGTAGCTGCACAGGCTGAGTGCTACCCCTTAAGCCAGTCAGAGGATTCATACTGAGTTCAAGTGCTGGAGAAGAAAAAGGGCAGTGGGGGAAGGTGCTTTATTTTAGGGGATTCTGCAGCACTAGGTTCATTCTGCCATAATAATTTACAGATCCAAAGCAGTCTTCAGAAGTGCTAACGCTCTTCATAAAATGGCTTAGGGGTTGTTAGTTTTTTTTTGTTTTGTTTAAATGTATGGACTCTTACCTTTTTTCGTGTGTGTCTGTCTTCATTACCCCCAGGAGAGGACACAGGACAAGGATTAAGCTAAGCTGGCAGGAGTGTAGCTCCTGTCTCAGGTTGTATGGGAGTTTTTGTTTTGGTCATAGTTAAACAGAGGAAGACAAAAAATACTTTAAAAAAAAAAAAAAAAAAGCCCATCCCCACAGCCCTCCACCCTCCCCTCCCCTGCACCCTGATCCTTTAAGGTAGTTAGATGAACCCTCCCTAGCTGCTCCCACCGTTTTTTTTGTTGTTGTTTTTAAAGGACCAAATGTATTGAGAAGTTTTCTAGTGAGCCTGCTAGAGCTGAGCCTGGGCAGAGTTGTCCCCAAAGCAACTCTGTTTTTAACAACAAACAAACAAAAACACAAGCTGAGGAAGTTATAGAAAGCAGTGAAGAGGTAAATGCCCTGAAAGCAAGACATCTTCTAAAACAGCTCTTCTGTTTTTGTAAGTATCAGAAAAGTTTTCCAGCAAAACCTAAATCTCTGTATGGGAAGTGCCTACAGTTCAGTTGGAGGAAAGGTTGAGGATCACAGTGGGAGGCCCCCTATGGGGATGAAAAGATTACAGGTCTTTGGAAGGAATGTATTCACCCACCTCTTAAAGACAGAAGTAAGAGGATGCACAGTGCTTAGGATATGGCTATAGTGTGAAAGCAACTTCTAGTCTTAATTCAGGTGCTCAGTACACCACGAGTACCCCGATAATAGTCCCAGCTCCATTATAAGTTAGGGRAGAAAAGTTAGCATCTTTACAGGCAGCAGAGGATGGCTGCCCTTAGACAATTTTAGCCTTAGCAAGTTGCTTATAGAACAGTAACCCCTGGCAGAGTAAAAGGAGCCTATCAGTGACCAGCACCTTCCAAGGACTGGGTTTATTTCACCCAAAGGGAAATATTTTACCTCTTACCTGAAGTTCATTGTATATGTTCAAGGTTCTTAATGAAAAATTAATAATAAAAAACCTTAAGGCTTCACAGGTCTAGATATTTTTTAACCACCCAACCTGAGCATTAGTCCATTGATTGCATCATCTTCCTAGAATTAAAGCCACCATCAAGAAGTCACTTTTGATTTTATTTCAGAAAAATATGGAACATGGGAGACTTCTGATCCACAAGTGACAGAGTTTTGTCATTTCAGTCCAGGAGAAGGTGCTTCTTGTCACGCCTTGAGAAAACAAACTTGGTAAGAGGTAGAAGYTGTGACCCTGCACTAACAAGGGGCTATCCATTCCTGCCACGAGTGGTTCAGGCACAAGACACTCTATAATGAGGACCCTCCCCTTGTGACCAAGTTGTCCTGGCACCAAAGAAAGATGGTTGTCTTACCAACACAGCATCTCAGGTTTTTTGATTATTTTATTTTTTCAAAGTCATGTTTTGTACAAAAAAAAAAAAAAACAACACCCATATTATCTTAAACACCACCATGAAAAACAGGAACAGGCTTAGTGACTTTTTTTTTTTCCATGTTATGAGAATGACAGAGACCATAACAAAAGGAAAGTGGGAACTGTTGGCCTATGCACCCCAGCAAAAGGGCAGGGCCCCTCACGTCTCCGTGTCCCTGCCCAGACTGCACCCGCAGTATAAAAACGCACAGACTTTTCTGTTCCTCAGTGCTAGCAGCAGTGGCTTCCTCACAGTCTCTACCCTCACGACTGAAGCTGAATCTTTGTGTTCAGAATGTGACTGCTACAACTTACCCCCACCCCTAAAAAGCAATTAGAAAGGAAGGTGCCATGTTGAGGGTCCCTTCTGACCTCAACCAATCAGTGACACTGTAAAGTACCCGAAGACATAAATTAAGTCTTACAACTGCGGGAGCTACCTTGGCCCAGGGAAATGGTCACTCTCCCACCTCACAGCAGTGTGCAAATACCACCTGCACCGGGCAAGCATCGCAAGACTGACCTGAATCACACTTAGGGGGACAGTGGCTTAACCAAGTGACCCTGTAAGCTCAGGATTATGCAGATTTGAGTCTAGCATACTTATTCCTTGGCTTCTATGCTTTATTTTTATGAAAGAGAAAAAAAAAGCTTCACAGAAAAATCCTCTCAGACAGTGAAAATTCAGAAAGCATCCAATCAACAGCTCAGTTACTGCCAAAATTCTGAGCAGTTAACCTGAATTGCAGCTACCTCTAACTTCCTCAATTTGTCCTGATTTCGGTTTCACTTCAACAGGTGTCCCCTTTACTTAGCAGCACATTATTTCCTTTGGCTTCCCAGTGACAGAGAAGATAAAGATGTCATTTGGACTGAAGGAGGAGGTCACAAAACAGTATCATGTAGTTTTCAAGCATTGTCCCTTTCCAGTCTGAAAGAATACCAGTGGATAACCTACAGCTCTCTGCATCTCAAGAAAACTGGTGTGCACTTTTCAACACATTACCAGTAGGAAAAGGAAAGACTTTACAAGTGCTAATGCCTCTTCCACTCAGAGTTTGGCATAGATCACCTTGTGCACGTTATGCTGGCTTGTGTAACAGGGCAGAAGCTAGAAAAGCTGGAAAAAAAAAGTATTTGAAGTATAAAACCACTGTCTTACAGATCTGATTAGCCTTATAAGGGAGAGAGAGAGAAGCTCATCTTATCTCGGCTGTTGTAACTCACTGTCTTCTTTCTTTCACACTCCCTCTTTGAACCCATCTCTGCCCTTCTCAATAACTCATCTTCCAGCCCCACTCAGTATTGAATGCTGAATATTTGTTTTTGGTGTCTCCTATTGCCCTCCCCCCTGGCTCTACTGCGTTCCTTGAAAGCCTAGAACACCGTTAGATCCATAAGACATGCCTTCAGGGACCCGTGCTCATGCCCAGCAGCTTTTATGATGCCAGAAAAAGCAAAAGCAAAAAGTTGAAGAAGATCAGAAGCAAGAGAACTGTCTGGGAGGCCCCTGGATAAACAAGCACCAGGATGGGAAGGGGAGAGGGAAAAAAAGGAAAAAAAAAAAAAACCCACAGAGTGTTGGGAGCCGATCACATTGGCAGCAAGTGGTCATCCCGCTCTTCCGATTCCTCCCCCAGCTGGTCGTCGCCCACACCACGGTAGGCAGCCGGCGCGTTGCGAGGCTTAGACCGACAGACAAAGTCGCAGCCATCCTGCAAATACAGGTTATTGCAGCACCGGAGTCAGACTACAAACAATTAAGCTAGCATCAAAGCAAAGCAGCTTGTAATGACTTCTGCTAAGGGATAATGCCTGTCCTCAAGCTATCTGGGGCAGATCCCAAGATCCTCAAACTGCCTGGGGCAGATCCCAAGAATTTGCCTTGGTAAGGGGAGCACGTGTGCAGAGATACTACCCAGTCTCAAAGGCTTGTTGACCCTGGGGGTAACGCGTGGTGCTGATTAGCAGTAGGCAACAACATCACACTGAGAGAAGCCGGAAGGACTGAATAACAGAGCCTAAGGTGAGTAAGGGAGGATTTCAAGGAACTTCTCTTCCGCCCCCAGCTTATCATTCCTACCTGAGAAGCATTAACCACGAATGGGCACATGCTGCAGTTGGGCAGTCACGGGGTATGAGCACCACGCTAACACTTAGCAAGCAAGCGCTCTACAGACACCCTCGTCTGCCTCCGGTTACTCTGCAGCTGGTCTACCCAGCCATGGACCAGGAAGACGAGGCAAGTCCCAACTACTACATTCCTTATACACTAATATATGGACCAGGTTGGGGATATATAAAGATCTGTCACTTACCGCCATCAAATTGCCTAGATCTTGCCAAAAAGCGAAGTGAGGAAACTGCTCCATGCCCTTAGCTCCTACCACCAGGCGCTGGTACAGGAACCCGCCGATGATGTAGACTGCAATCAGCGACACAAGTCTGGAAGAAGCAGATAAAAATCAAAATAAAAAATACCACACACAGAACACTAAGGTCAGAGCTGAGGAAGCTCTGCACATAACCTCTCCCTAGCCAGCTGCTTGCCTTAAACTGATACTGGAGTAAGTAACTCAGCACCATTTTAGAAAAGAGCAATAAACAGAAAACCAGGCCACAGGAAAGAAAGATACCCCAAAATACTCATTTGTGGGGAGAAATCTTTCAACAACATCACATGAAATAGTGCCTTTAAGCACAAGCACACAAAACAGAGTTAAGACTCAGCCTGAATTCCCAGTTCTRGCAAAGAGCTGTGGTACAACTTTAGGAGGTCATACCTTCCATGTTCTGCTATGCTTCTCTGTAAAATAGGAAAGAGAATGTCTACAGGGTGTAGAATAGCCCTACACCATCACGCTTTAAGCAAAGCTTCTGTCCAGAGGCTCAGAGATAATAGTAGCATTTAACAGTGGCTGCAGACAGCCATATTAAAATTATCTGGTGTAGTACAGCATTTGCTGTTTCTAAATGGCACTGGAGATTGCAGCCTAGGAATGAACAGCCCCTCCAAAAACTCACATTATTAGCAGAATGGAGCCAACGCTCAGGTGGGACTCCTCAGCTGGGCAGGCCACACTGCTGTCCATCTCAAAGAGGTAGAAACACTCCTGCTCCTTTTCTCGCTCTTCAGAAATAATGCTGAACGAGCTCTGTTTCGGAAAAAGTCAAGTCACGTGAATATCTGCCCAGGCAAGCTGAACTCTCCAAGGAGCCGTTTCACCACTGTTGGTGCARCTATGCAATGGGTACTGGAAGGCAGAAGGAAACCTCCCTGTCTCCTCCAAGCCCTTCTACTGATAACCAGCCATTAGACAAGCTCTCCTGCCTCGCGTGTCACTCACCGCTGTAAGCCCCCGCTTGCAAGATATCATTATCACTGCTCTCCTCTTCTCTCCACTGCAGTGCCTGCCGTATGAGTCACCCCCTTTATAAATTAGCATGATCCAATCACCTGCCAAGCAAAAGAACACGGGCTGTAGAGATGTGGACCAGGAGGCAACAGGCAGACATTGAGTAAGCAAGTTATCACTTACTTCCATTGAAGACCTGGGTTTCATTGATTCTTCCTATCACTGTAGTCTTCCCAGTCTTTCTATCAATTTGTACTAGGCCRGCAAGATCATGCAAGGAGCTGTCAACCTCCCTGCACACCCTGAAGTGATAGGTGTAGTTTTCTGTGGTGCCCAGCTCCACAGTTGTGTTAAACCTGCAGCAGAGGACAGAGAGCAGATAATCTACTGAATTATAAAGAACAGGTTGAAAGCAATCATCAGAAGACACTGGAAGCCAGACACAGCCCATATCATGGCCTCAAAGTTTCCAGCCTCCCTGACCCAAGACCTGCAGTGAGTTGATATGACCTTTGCACTGTACCTTATTTGGCTCAGAGGTTCCAGTTTCTTCAATAGGGCTTTTTCTGTTTGAGACTCACTGGTCTCATCTCCAATCACATCACAGTCCTTCTCTTTAACGTCTTCAGCCCAGGCACTGACAGCAAGGACCATAAGGACTATCAGCGGACCAGAACTATGCCAGGCTGATGACATCCTGGACGTATACCAGCCACAGACTGCAAAAAGGAGAAGTTAAAAGCAAGAACTATCTCCAAGTTCTCATGAGACACAAAACCTCAGGGTCTGACATGGTCCGAAAGAATTCACCACCACAGAGGGTCTCTTTGAGCTTCTTTTACAACATCTGCCTTGAGATCACAAAGTTTTGCTGCAGAGCTCATTAATTAGCCTTGGTTCTGGCAAAGCTGAGTTCAATAGGCTCTAGACTGACTTTCCTAGTCAGTCATCGCTTAGCACTGCACCCCACCGAGAAGCCAATGATTTACCAGCCTGCTGCTAACCAATTGTCCCAGCAGCTCTTGTTCCTTAGCTCCCACCAGCACTAGAAAGCTCCCAGGATACAGCAACTACGGCCAAACTCTGTCTGTTCAGGTTCCTTACACACTTTCTTCTATTTATGTGGGGAAGACAGTAAATGAGGCAGTCTCTCTCAGACAGACAGAAGAGGCAGTAGAAGGATGAGTATGAGCTTCGGCTTTGGACTTTGGCTGTAACCACACACGAACCATTCGGGGACGGAGCCCCCTCCACTTCCGTGTGGCTTCAGGTGGGATTCTCCTCTGCTGCTGCTACGGCAGAAGTCAGCAGAGCTCCCGAGGCTGGTGGAAGCCAACCAAGAGAGCAGCAACTTTGCAGGGATTTGGCTGTGGGCGGCCAGCCTGTTCCATCCCTCAGCCCCATGGGGGTTCATCAAAGCTACAACTTCCAAGCCAACTTTTTTTAGTCACCAGGCGTAAACACAAGGAGTTTAAASGCACTTAGCCGGGGACAGCCCTGACTCAAGAACCCGTGATCTGCTTCTCACAAGAGGCAGTCCCGGTGCGAGGGCAGGCGGCCCTGGGCAAGCTGCTGGCCAACACCGCGCTGGGCCCGGGCCCTCGCCGAGCTGCCGGGCAGCCCCGCGCCGGCTCCCCCGGGCTGTAGCCCCGGCCACGGCGCTCGCCCCGGCCCGC